GTTGTAGATGAAGTCATGATGATGAATGGTGTGATGGTCCTGCCCAAGAGGCTGATTTGGGAAAATTGGGGATATTTCATATTTAATTTGTTTTCAGGTCACTGAGATGTCGGAGACTGAGTGGGCACTCCTGTCTGCCCAAAACCTCATTGTGGTTTCTTTCTTTCCTAATCACTTTCTCTGTCCTACTTGTGGCTGCGCCCATGTTTGGCTTCATTCGTTGGTTTAATTTACTGCACCTTCCAACACCTCCCACTAAACCACAGTTTAGTAGTTAGACCACTGATGTCACTGATTAACACGCTCCATGTTCTCTGTTGGTCAGTAAATACTGTTTTGTTGTGTCTTTTCCTATTGTTGTCATGGTCTATTAACCTGGTTATACAGTGTATAGTAGATCAGACAGATACTAGAAACCATCTTCCCAACATCAGAACAGGTTTAAGAGAATCATCTGTCGTCTCCTCTGCTCTGTATGATGTAAAAATGAGCAAGCAGTATTTTCTTGGTCAGGCTGCGAGGTGACAGAAAGTGGAGAGAGGATCTTGTGTGATGTAAAGTGTCGTGTGAGTGTGGACTGGAGGGTGGGTGGCCCATTTGCATTTCAAAGAGACTCTTCAAGCTTCTCAGCTCATCACTGTCAAGTCTGTGGTGTAGTCGGTGGCACCAGGGCTTTGGGACATCTTCGACTTGGTTCCTTAGCTCTCAAATTTTATAATGATTTATAATTAAATTAGTATTTTATTTAGAAACATATCATTGACCAAAGCAGTACATGTTAAAGGTGAAATATTTCTTTTATTCATTAATGTCATAATAGATTTTCTCCAGTTTTCTTTAGCAGGTAGATAAACCCAGCTCGTGACGTCACAACTTATTGTGATGCTGCATTTCACACAACACACAAACCAAATGTTTTTGACCTCCTACTTGAAAAATGATTAAATGGTTCTGGAAGTCCTCCTCCAGGTAGATTATATTTCAGCATCAGGTGCTGACAGAGTAAAAATCAAACCCACCCCTCAGTTCTCTCCTGGTTTGTGTGAGCAGAGCTCAGGGACTGTTTAATGAAGATGATCTCTGGAGGCCTGAAGCAGCAGGAAAAGCCACCTGCTGAACTCAGCTTGATTGCTCTCCCTTCCCCCTCCATCTGTCTGGGGAAGAAGCGAGCTCTTTGTCTTAATGCTGCTAACACAACCTCAGTGTGCTGCTGGTCCTAAACAGAACCTCATCAGAACTTGATCAGGTTTTCTTCTCCAAAAGTAATTGTGTTTCCAGCTTCCACAACCAAAGTATTTCAGCTTGAAAACAGCTTACTTATTCTTACACCTTTTCTGTGTGTCTGTTCAGCAACCTCCCATTTTGCAGAAGAAAATCATGAAGATTACATCTGACAATATTCTACTCTGTGTTATATGATTGTACTAACAAATCTAATGAAAGGCCTGATATGTGTTTGCTGAAGCATGATAAAATCTTATCTCTTTGTCCCAAAGAGCTGCATTGTAGCCCAAAAAACTATTAAAATAGTTTCTTGAGGCACACTGCTGCACTGTTTGATGTGTTTTCTCAACACACACTGTTGTA